TTCTTATCCACAGCAAATCACTCTCTGGGCCATCCCTCTCCTCAGGACCTCATTCTTAGTCCTAGTGAGGGAAACCACTTGTCTAGTTCACCTGAACTGTCCCCTTTTCAACAATGAAAGTCCCATGGCCCAGAAAACCTCAGAAGTTGGTCGTCCAGTGAGGGGCCTCTCTGACTACGCGATGCATTTGCAGTGGCATATTTTCTGAGTCTTGGCTAGCTGCCATCCAGTGCTGGATAACATATACCCTTAAGGCACTAGCAAATAGAGGCACCAAAATGTAAAATATTTTTATAGTTACATATTTTTTTAAAAGCATGGGAGGGTCAGAATTAATTGCCATGGGTTGGTCAGAACTTTGATTAACTTCCATATGGTTTTAGATTTAAATTTGAATTCTCCTTGGGCAGAGGCACCATAATCTCATGTTGGGGCCTCTGTAGGTTTTAAAAGTGGCCTCACTTTGTAGAATTTAAGACAAAAGATAAGCATTTCTATCTCCCCACATATATACGGTTGCTGTTGTTCCTCATCCCTTTCTTCATATCCTTGTTTTGGTCTAAAGCCACTTCCCTTCAGCCTGAAGAGCTTCCATTAGAATTTCATATAGTGCAGAACTGCTGGTAACCGATGCTCTCAGCTTCAGTTGTCTGAAAATATTTTTATTTTGCCTTCGTTTTTGAAAGATTTTTCCCCACTGGAGATATAATTCTAACTCAAATTTTGTTTGTGCAGTTTAAAACTGATTCCATTCTTACTCCCATTGTTCTGATGAGCACTGGCTCTCGGCCTAATTGTTGTTGCCCTAGATGTAATATGACCCTTATTCTCCTGATGCTTTTAAGGTTTTCTTTTCAGCCTTCAAATTTGACTGTCAGTGATGTTCTCAGTTGTGGAGGCAGGAGCTGGGCTAGAAGAAGAAGAGCTCATAGTTCCTGGGTTGGGTTAACATGTTCATTTTTAAGAATGGTAACAAAACAGAGACACCAATGTCTTCCACTGATTTATTGTGAAAATGGTCCAGAGAATTAGGATAATGGTTAAAAAAACATTAGGAATGGTTTTTTGCTTTGTGTTTTTAATGTGGGAACAGCTACCAATTTCTGTGTCCTAGCACAACTATAGAGCAGAGAAAGGGAGAAGGGGAAGCTGCAGAAGAGGAAGAACAGAACAGTCCCTGGGTCAGAGAGAACTTGGGATCTAGAGCACATGTGGAGCCATTAGCCTTATGAGAAGGAAAAGAAAACTTACCCTGTAGCATGAACGAAGACCTGCCAAAGCAGGGAGGGTTAAAGATTGCATGGGAGAATTGCCTATTGGATGGAAGCCTCTGTTTTTGCAATGTTTGAGGCACAGTCAGTAGTGCAAAGTGAGAGGTAGTGTGGGGAGAGAGCAGGTGCCCTGGCCTGTACCCTCATTTGAGGATTCCATCTGCTCCTAAGGTCAGCCTTCGTCCTGAAGACTGGAGAGGAGCAATTTGAGAGGCTTCCGGGCTTTTCAACCAGTGTCCTGGGACTGCTGTGCTATAGCTGCCCTGCTTCAGGCCCCTCCTTGGAAAAGGAGAGAGCTTGTAAACGTCAGGTCACTTGGTCATTTCACCACAAAATCTAAGGGAAGGCCTTGTCCTGTACTCTACATTGAAATGATGCACCCGCGCTCAGAAACCTCCCAGTCTCTATCTTAAGCATTTGAGAGACAAGTTTTGGGTTTTTTCCTCCTTCCTCCCCCACCATATAGTGGATACCAGTCTCTGTGATGTTGGTCAAGTCTTCTGATCTTTCTGAGTCTGGCTCCTCTTCTGGCAGATGGGTCATAGGGGCACTTGTACTATGGAATACCAGGTGCCACACAGATAGGTATAGCCCTCCTTCCTTCCTCGTGACTTTTATCTTTCAGTCTTTGCCTCTTCAAGAAAAGGTTTAGCGGGAATACTAGAATACTGCGTAGCCAGCAGCACTGTTTAATGAAATTAATTGTGAATCAGTGAAGTTCTGCTGCCTCTGTTTTCTCTTCCTCCTTGTGATGGAGTAACCATTCTGTTTTAACATTTAAATAAAATAAAGCAAAGAGAATGACACTAGGGAAGGGAAGGCAATGCCACATGGGGTGACTTGAGTAAAGTGAGAGGTGAGAGGAAAGGAAAGGTTTTGTGGCCTGTGGATCTGGGAGAAAGGAATCTTTCAGAGATTCAGCAAAATTTGGCAACTGGGAGATTCAAAGCAGATGAACTAGATTGTTGAGAGATGGAGCTAGACCAACTTGGGTCACAACAGGTTAGAAGAGGAATCAGAAGCAAAGAACAAGAAGCAACCTGTCATCTGATCCTGATTTCTCTGCCCACCTACGTGGCAGTTCCTTATCATGAGATGGGCCCCGTCTTGTTCTGTGCCTTCCTGCTTTGTGGCCAGGCACTGCCCACTCCATGAACAAGCCCCTGTATTAACCACAGGCATTGGGCCAGACACCGTAGTTTCTGAAGAGTGAGTAGGAGGCAAGAAGTGAAGACAAGGCCAGGACTGAGTGTACCTTTGAAAGCCTTCAGTTGTCCCTCCCGCCCAAGCGTTTTCACTTAGTGAAACACTTGATGAAACCACAGCTTTTCAGACGTCACTGGGGATTGAGGTGCTCCAAGCCTGCTGGGGAGCTGAGGGTCCTGGTTTCTTGCCCTGGCTCTGTTGCTGGCCTCCTGTGGTCCTGAGCGGGATCTCACTCATCTCTGGAGCAGCAGCAGCAGCACAGACTTGATTTGTGACTGTACTTCCCCCTTCCTCCTACCAGGCAGTTTTGTATAATGTTGGAAACATGGCCTCTGAGTCCCCACGACCTATGTTTAAAGTTCAGCTTTGCCACTTACTAGTCATGTAATCCGGGCCAAGCTAACCTATCTTTTATATTTCCTTCCTTAAGTCCTTTATTTGAAAATAGGGCATTATATTACCTGCCTCCTGGGTTCATTTATAATTTACTGAGATAAGTAAAATACATAATATTGGCACAAAACATGGAACTATGTGAGCAGTAGCTAGTGTTGTTTTTATCATAATTGTAGAGACATCTTCCCTCTTGTGCTGTTAACATGGGGACGGGGGTGGGAGTGGGGGGCTGGTAGGAAAGAAATGCTAAGAGGTGGGAACATGATGAAAATCTTCATGCCAGGAGTGGGCTGGGAGTGGGCTCAGCCCCACAAAGCCAACCCCAGAAGTGTGGAGAGCAGTTCTCAAGGCAATAGCACTGACTGTGCCTCAGTTCAGACCTTTGGTTAGAGACCTAGGATAACACAGCACCCATCTAAGGGTGATGGAGCCCTAGCCTCGGCGCTTCATGACCTGTGTGTCCATGAGTCTTAAGGCTTTATTACGGCTACTGTTTTTCCAAAGAACTTTTCTGTCCCTTGATTTCCCTTCCTCAAGTCTAGAAGCTGCTAAGAGATGCACAGTTCTCATTGCGGAACCAAGCTTCCATAGAATTACCAAATCAGATCAAGAGGGCTCCAGGGGGACTTCTGAAACCATTGTCCTCTCTTCTCAGCCTGTGGTCTAGGCCTGATGGCTGAGCTGGCCTTCTGCAGAGCCCCAAGAAGAAAGAGATCCAAAGGTCAACAGCTTCTGATAAAAGCCACACATAGCTTTGGAGAGGAAATGAGCTTTGTGACCAAGGATACACAGAAGTCAGGGGAAGAAACAGTCAGGGTTGGCTGGTGCCCATGCTGGCCCACAGGACAGTTTGGGAAAGCACCCCTGGGCGGGTGCTTAGCTCAGATTGCCTCAGCCTCTCTGAGGCCAGTCTAGAAGGAGCCAGGAACTCTTACAGTAGTGTATCTTTAACCCGTCCCTCTCCAGAATCTGGACTTTTATATATATATATATAATTGTTACATCATTTTTCATTTTTGCACAATATATGCATTTTCATTTTGGTTATATTCCCTGTACAATACCCACCCCCCTTATTTTGGCCCCAATCCCTCCTCTCCTCACCCACCCCCCTAATCCCCACCGCCACCCCCCCCCACCCCCGTTAGTGTGTCTCTGGTTTATAGTTGCTTGTTGATTTTGATTTTTTCTTTATTATAATTAGTCTTTTTCCTGGCCCCTTATTTAGGTTTTCTAAATTCCTGCTATGAGTGAGACCATCCAATATTTTTCTTTTTCTTTCTGCCTTACTTCGCTGAGCCTGATCCCTTCCAGTTCCATCCATGTTGCTGCAAATATTACTCAGCAATCAAAAAAGAATCTGGACTTTTTAAGCCCTCTCACAGCTGGCAGGGCATGAGTTCAAGAACGAGTTTGAATCTAGTTAGGCCTCTTCGTTTTATAGATGGAAAGATTGAGGCCTGGAGTAAGAGAGTGACCCTAGGCCCTTTGGAGTGGGCCTGTTGTCTGTCAGGAAAGGCTTCTCAGATGAGGGACAGGGAAGCAGCAGGGGGTGTGGTGAGGAATAGAGGGACCCTGGGGATGACGAGAACCGCATGAACAGAGCTCCAGTGCAGGAACAGAAGGTGAGCTCGGCCCGGACCCCAGCCATGATCCGACTGGGCTGATGGTCAGATCAGGGTTTGCCTCCCATAACTGGGCCCCACCTGAGTGTCTTGTCCCCACTTAGCCTCTGCTCCTAGCTGAAGCTGCTGAGTTTGCTGCTCTCCTTAGCACAAGGAATTCCTAGCCCCTGCCTTAAGAGAGGATTCTGGGAGCCGCCCCAGGGGAAGGCAGCCAGCCAAGTAGGTGAAAGTTGAGCAAGGCAGGCAGCTGTACTGAGCCCTCACTCATCACAGAAGCAGAAGTCCCTTGGCAGACCCACCTCACCCTCCAGAGCCAGGCAGCTGCTTGCTTACAGTTTTCAGCTCTTTGGGAAATTTTGCTTCCAGCCTCCAGCGTCAGCATTTATGTCATTTAAAGAGCTGCTGTGAACAGGAACAAAACTTTAGTCCTGATTCTAGGCCCAGAGACTCACTGAACAGGGGCAAGGGAGTGGGAGTGCCTTGGGGAGATACTGTCGCTCACCTCTGCTCTGCCGGGGGCGCTCTTCGTCTTGCTCTCTGCAGCTGGCATTGGCCTTGCTCCAATTCAAACTCTCTGTTTGATGAGATATAGCACTGACCAGAGCTTTGGTCACTTTCGAACTTTGAACTTCATAGTATGCCTTGGGGTGAGAAGACCAAATAAATGTTCTTAGCTCTGTTTAGCAGTGAAGATACTAAGACCCAGAGAGAGACAGTGTCTTTTTTTTTAAGGGTATTTTTTTTAATGATTTATTTATTTATGCATACAAGAGCTGGGTACGGGCCAGAGATGTGCGGGGGGTGAGAGGATTCACCAGAGACAGAGTGGGGAGCAGAACAGACAGATTGACCGGAACACACTGCTGAGGGGAGCAGCGAGCGAGACAGGAGAGGTCTGCCTTGCCATGTGGGTTGCTCCGTGGCCGACCGGGGAGCGAACTCATGCTGCAAAGGCTGCAGATTGCTTCATGGTGTGGTGCTTAACCCCTTGCACCACTAGGGAGACCCAAGAGACAGTGTCTTGGCCTCAAGTGAGCGCAACAATTGGGCTAGGCCACAGGCAAGTGTTCTTCATCTCTATCCCACTGCCTCCCTTGGAAAAAATCCTTGGGACACTATGAAGCAGGGATTAGTAGGGGCATCTGACCCTGCTCCCTCCTGGGAACACGGCCTGGTCAGGCAGACTCACCTAAGGGCCGGTGTGGAAGGAACCCAGAACAAAGGCTTGGATGGGATCATATTTTAGACCAAAGAAATGGGCTGGACCCTCCTGACAGGGAAGACAGCCTCATCACAGGGCCTGGCTGGAGAGGCGGTCACTGGCCAGGATAAGTGCTTGAATTATAGAGCTCATCCTCCTGTGATTCCTGCTCACCGTGATCCATTTTCAGGTGAGGAAACCAATGCCCAGAGAGCAGTGACTTTCCAAAAGGCAGTGGGCTAAGAAGTAGTAGGGCCAGGACTAGAACCAACTCCCCTGCCAGGGTCAGTCTCTTGATTTTAGGATCCCCAGGAAGCCCCTAATTTTCCTTCCACCACCACTTCTTCCCACAATTCTTTGCTTTCACCCCAGCAGAGTTCTACTTTTGTCACTGAAGGCTCCTTTGAGACACATTTGTTTCAAGTAATAGGCCAGAGAAACACATTTATATTCAGGGCTTGGGTGTCCAGGAGCCCAGAAAAAAGTTGGCCTCCATATTTGAAAATGGAAGAATTTAATGGCACAGCTGAGTAGATTGCAAGGGGGTGGTCTGAGAACCCTAGCTTTCTGTCACGCTTGACACCCAGACCACAGTAATATCAGTGTGTTCTTCAGCGAGGACAGTGATGAGCCCCCGATCTGCAGATCCCTGTTCACTGGGACAGAAGGATAATTCCTCCCCCAGACATTCAGGACCTTCCCTCAGCAAGCATCAACTCCTTTTTCTATGTTCATCTTCCGTTTTTCGTATCTACAGTTCAGCCAGGCTTATCCCCAATGCTTTCCCAGCCAAAAAAAAAAAAAAAAAAATATTCCTTCTTTACACCTTTGCTCAAGCTGAACCTCCACCTGAAATACCCTGTTGTCTTCCCTGTTCAAATTCAGCTTCCTTGTTGGTTCAAGTCCACTTCCTCTAGGAACCCTTCCCGGGGTATCACCCCATGGATGACACCCACTGCCCACATTCCACAGGTCCTGCAGCCCCTCAGTCTGATGATTCTGCTTTCACAACAGGTGAAAATGCAAATGACAGGTCCTGCAAATGACAGGCTGTGGTGACAGTTTTCTTGTGCCCCTCAAGCATTTCAGAGGAGCAGTTAGTACATGTGGGGATGTCCCTGCTCTGGGCAGTTTAACCTCTGCCCAACACTCCAAGGTTGTTTTAGGGTATCAACTCTGATGAGGAAAGAACCTTTACTAGTAGTCAAGATGTTTTTTAAACCCTGTTGAAGTCAACAAAAACCAAATGTTGCTGATCGTGTGTTCTCTGACCTTCCACACCCCTGCCCTGCCCTGTACACAGAGCCAAGCCCTGTCCTGCTTCCTGGGCCTGAGCTATGCTGATAAGGCCCCCTAGATCGCTGGGGTTTATGTGGGTGCGGGGAGTTTGGCTGAACCAGCCACATTTATTTCAGTTCCCAAACTGATGGATGCTGTCCCAGGAACAGGTGCAGGCCTGTGCTCAGGCTGTTTCTTGCAGAGGCATGCCCTCACCCCACCCCCAGCTCTGTTGAAACCCTGGCCATCTCTGAGCCCACCTCTGTGAGCACCTCCTTTGCCCAGCTGGGAAGGCCCAGCTTAGTTATTAACTATTCTTTTCTCCATGCCCACAAGCTCTAGGTCTCACCTCTGTGATTGTTGGGCAGATCTGCATCTGTCTCCCTTCCAGCAGCCCTTGAGGACAGGAACCGTGGAGACCTAATGTCCTTAAGAATTGATCATGTTTAAAAATTTTTTTTAATTTAAAATAATAATAATAGGGCCTCCCCGGTGGCGCAGCGGTTGAGCACTGAGTTGCGAAGCTGCCCGCGGCCTCTGCAGCGCCGGTTCGATCCCCGGCTGCTCCCCGGCCACCGGAGGAGGGTCCCACATGGCGCACAGACCTCTCCTAACCCCCGCTGCTCCCCTCAGCAGTGTACCTCGGTCCTTCTGCCTCCTCTGCTCCCTGCTCTGGCTCTGGTGAATTCTCTCACCCTCCCGCGCTTCTGACTGTACCCAGTGCTTGTATAAACAAAAAAAAAAAAACAAACAAACAAATAAATAAATAAATAAAAACATGCCTCTATAAAAAAAAATTTTTTTAAATAAATAAATAAAATAAAATAATAATAATAAAATTAAATTTAAAAATTAAAATTTGTAAATAAAAATAAACTATTTAAAATTAAATAATGAAATTTAAAAATTAAATAAAATTTTAAAATTAAAAGAATTGCTCAGGTTCAGTAGATGTTAGGTTCCTGAAAGATGTTATGAATCCCCAATAAAGGTCTTTTGATTGTCACTTCTTCCATTGAGGTTCTAGTCCTAGAGCACAAGACCCATCTCAACCTCTCCAAAGCAGAGAATACTTCTCTTCTGACAGATGAGGACAGAGCGACAGGCTTTATAATTTGAAATAGAGGACCATGCTCTTTAGCCTGTTTTTCCACCCAACTTATGGAACACGTATCCCTTTTACTGTAGCAGAGCGATAAATGGAAAGATACAGCCGGTCACCCAGTGCAGCCAAGGCACGGGAATGGGGGTTGGTGTCACCTCTGTATTCTGAGCAGCACAGGAGCCAAGTCTTGGATCTTGGGAGTAGAAGTGGGTGTAGGGAGGCTTAAAGTACTATGGAGGCTTTGACTTAACTGAAGTCTTGGCACATGAGAGGTCAACAACCACAGGTTCCAGAATGAATGAATGAGATGTTTCTCATAAGAGAAGGTCTTACCCCCACCCAATTTAAACCTCTGATCTCCACCTTGTCTTACCCTTTCACTGGTCTGGAGCTACCGAGTTCCTGTCTTGGACCTGGTCTTAAAGTCACAAGCATCAAGCCCAATCCATGGGTACCCAGTCTGGAGGAGGCCAACAGGCAGCAGCACTCTGCCTCCCCTGGCCTGAGGCATTATGGGGTACAGCAGCTCCCATATTTTGGAAGGATGCAAAAGGATAGGCTTCCTTTCACCCTTTTATCCTAGGCCTAACTAGAAAACAGAGAGCTGTATCTTCTAGTCGCTTTCACTTGGTTCTCAGGAAACCATGCCTGAAGACTTCGGGGCTGAGAGCTTGCTCAGGTTGTCGACACTCCCTTGGCATGCAGAAATCCAAGTGGGGCCCTCAAGGTTGCCCAACTCCCATGACCCTTAGCACATTCCAGCTGTTACTCTAATTCTATTTCCCCAGCTTAACTCAGAGCTACAGGGGTTCAAGAACTGAGTTCTGTTCATTTCTATGTCCTCTCACACTAGAATTACAAGGTTAAAGAAACAAAGGGAAGACAGGGCTACTGACTGTTACCAACCCCAGAAGCATCTCTTGCTGCACATGTTTCCCATTAGCAGAATTGCAAGGGGCAAGGAGATAGCCTCACTCTCAGGGTCTCACCCAGCTGGCTCTTGGTGCCTGGGGAGTGGTGCCATGTACACTCTGTGCCCATCAGCTGGTGCACAAGGGGCTCAGGGAGAAGAAAGGGACTCATCCACAGAGCAGGCTGCGGCTCTGAGGTCAGCCAGTTTGCCCATGATAGCAGTTCCTACTTTCTTTCAGCATTGCCTTTTCCCTGAGCTTCCCCAGGCCTTATTCTCAGCCAGCTGCAAGGGTGACTTTCCTGTATAGCCTTGAATTTCTTCGGGGCAAGAACCTGGCCTGTAGGTACACACACACACACACACACACACACACACACACACACACTGGAATGAGTCATAGAAGAGCCAGAGTACTATGATGCCATAACCCAAATGCAAGCGCCGTAAGGGTGGGATTAATGATACCCCGTCGGCCTGAGAAAAGGAGGTGTTTGGTAGCAGGGCCACAGGTATGTGTTCCATGTCACCTGGCTGCTCCAGGAACTCCCACAGGCCGTGCAGAGAATATATTATTCACCATCATCTCCCCAGCAGTTGGCGCAAACACGGGATGGTCACAGCTCAGAGGATAAAGGCCTCGTATAGACTCATCCAGCCAGAGAAGGGATGAGGCTTCAGACCTGTCCTGGAGGTGACTGCCTCGCCTCTCCAGAGGCACAGAGAGAGTCTGAGCTGGCGTTCACATCTGAGTGCAGCTGCCCAAATAGTGGGAACTTGTTTTTATTGAACTTGAACTGTGGTCCCTCATCCGTGACATGATGTACCCACCTCTGGGGCCAAGGTTAATGTTAAACAAGACTGGACATGTGAAGTGCTTGGTAAACCAGTCAGCTGAACAATGTTAGCCAAAGGATCAAAAAATGAGGGGAATCAAGTCCTCTTTTGGAGGTGCAGTATCCACAGTGCTAACCAAGCTTGCTTCTCCATCTCTAGGACAAGAACGAGACCACCAAGGGAGCCCCGTCCCGAAGGCCTTATCGTCCCAGACCTATCTCGCTGCCTCCCAACCTGCCCGAGGAAGAAACTCGTAGGATCGCACGGATATTTTCTTCCCAGTACTCTCAGAAAGACTAACGCAGCCCGA